CTATGCAGCTTGGACTCATAGTGATCCTCGTCTCAGCCTCCCCCAGTGCTGGGATTACAGGCATGCACCACCACACCCAGTTTTGGGGCCAGAATGGCAGGCGCTTATGCCACTGAGCTATTTCCCCAGCCCCAGACACAATTCTAACCGGGGATTGAACTCAGGCCCCTGTGCTTACCAGGCATGTCCTTATTCCACTGAGCCATCTCCCCAGCCCCACACCAAACAATTCTTAAGGTCTGTTTTACCTTCACTGGCCTCAAACCGCCCAGAATCACTACTGAACCACAAAAGGGAGTAACAGACAAGACTCAAGACAGGACAGAAATAAGTCACTCTGCACATCAACCAAAAAGACGGCTGTAAGATGCTGCACCAAAGACATACTTTAACTTGCCACAGACTTATCTACGGAATATCATCTCTCAGTACTTAAACTAGCCACAAACACCAAACACCAATCTTTTATCCTTCTCAGTTAGTTTTGTTGTTACTGTTTTTTGAAATACGGTCTCATTCTGTAACTCAGGTTGGCCTTAAATTTACTATGTAGCCCAGGCTGGCTTTAAACTCAGGACAACCCTCCTGCCTCAGCCTCCCCAGGCGTGTGCCATCATGCCCCTACCCCAGTTAATCCTTAGAGATAGAGTCACTGTCTCCCACTTCTTCACTCCTTTGCAGTCTAGCTTCTACCCTTAACACTGCACTGCCCATACAAAAGCTTCAATCACCGGCTATCACCAAATCCAACACTCTATTCTCCGGACACCTGGTGTAAAGGTAGTCCTCAACAATCACTTCTTCCATTGCCCAGCATCTATACGCCAATGTCTCCAAAGGCTCGAGACTCCTAACCTCTTCATCCAATCTCTTTTTTGATGACCTTAAGACTGTTTCAACTACTGTATATATTACAGCTTCTCAAAGATGAAAAAAATGAAAATATTCTTTTTCTTCTTTCTTGAGACAGGGATCTCTATATTTTCTAAGCTGGTTTTAAATTCCTGGGTTCAAAAAACACTCCTGCCTCAGATTAGCAAGTAGCTGCTGGAACTATGAATGTACCCAACCTTAAACAAAACCAAAATAAACGAAAACACACTTTATGTCCGGCGGGACAAAGTTCTTCCTCTGGTATATGTCCTGTCATCTCTGAACTAACAGCATCACCATCTATGCAATTTTCAGGCCAGTAACCTAAGGCCCTATCCTCCAGTGTCCTTTTCCCTTAGCCCTACCTGAGTGCCCGAGTCGACTTCCCTAAGTCTACCTTTTCTTGCTTCTCAGTGTCACTGCTTCAGTCTCATGTATTTTCTTTTACCTTTTAAAGACAAACATAGTTTAAGAAAAAAGATACAGAAATTCATGAAACAGGGGCTGGGGAGATAGTTCAGTAGAATAAGCGCTTGTCTGGCAAGCATAGGGTCCTGAGTTCAATCCCCAGAACCGCAAAACAACAAAAAAAAAAAAAAACAAAAAACAAAAAAGAAACAGAAATTCGCTAAACAAAATAGGTATTCAACAATGGTTGTTATACAGGTTTTTTTGTTGTTGTTGTTTTTTTTTTTTTTGCGGTACTGGGGATTGAACTCAGGACCTTGTGCTTGCCAGGCAAGCACTTATTCTACTGAGCTATTTCCCCAGCCCCTATATTGCATCTTGTTGTCTTCATATTAGTTGTTCAGATTACCAGATATAAGCATGCAAAATTGGTCAAAAAAGTTATAAAAAATTAAAAAGTACAGAGAGAAATTTAAGCACTGCTTCTCTCAACAGACCAGCAAAATCAGCAGCACAATCATCCAAGCTATCTTTATATATACACACACAACTTTTTCCCTTCATTTTTTCATCCTTTCCCTCATCCAATTTATTCCTTCCCTTTGAACAGATTCTTTCCCTTTCACAGTATCTACTTTACCATTCAGATTTTATTTACTCCATCAGGTTCTCATACCAGTGAGACAATATGATGTTTATACATGCAGATCTGATTTTTTCACTTATGAGTGTGGTCTCTATTTGCAACCATTTACCTATAAAAGCCTCGAGTTTATCTTTATATAGCTAATAAACTCCACTGTGTAAAAACACATCTTTTCATCCATTCCCCAGCTGACGGGCATTTGGGTTGTTCCCAAGATTTAGCTATGACATACTGCACTGCTATAAATATGGATGCACACATACCACTGTGGTATGGTGTTTTCAGTTCTTTTGGAAGAACACCCAGGAGAGGACTAGCTGGGCTGCATGGGACCTCTAATCCTACTTTTTTGAGAAATCTCCAGCGATTTCCATAGTGGTTATACTAGTCTGGAGTCCCTACTTTAACATATTGCCATTATTTGCCTGAAGACTGAAGAAGCCTAAATGATCACACTTACTTGACCCACTACCAATCACTGTTCTAAAATGTGGCCAGAACCCAAGCACACTCTAGACTTCAAAAGCAGGGTGCTCCTCCACTTTCCTTGAGATAAACTTCAAATCGCTGAACTCAATGCCGGCAACACCTCCGCTGTTATCTCATACTTACCTCTTCCTAAAACACTTCATGATGCTTGGCATTCCCTGACTTTACAGAGCTCTTCTATCTGCCTTCAACACTCATCCTTCGTATTTCTGCCTGGTTCTTAATCTCAGGAACTTTAAGGAAAAAAGTAAATAATGAAAAAACTCAGAATGAAGCTTAGAGCCCTCCACTAGTGACTTCAGCGACGCTCCGAGCGGCTCGCCTCCCGAGGCCTGCAGCATCCCGTCCTCCGCTCTCCGCTGGCCGCCTTGTGCTCCAGCCTCCGGGGCCTGCGCCCGCCTCTTCCCAGGCTGCCAGGGGCCGGCCTCCCACTCACTCACTTGCCCCACTCTTCAGGGAAGGACTGTTCTACACAGCTTTGCAGCGCCAGTGCTTGGCACATATTAAAACGACTGAGGGGAAATAAAAGTCTTGAAAGTTTAAAATACTTACCGTGGCAAGTGGCCTAGAGAGAAATGATCTCAATTCAGACGGCTGGGCTCGTTACCAACGGACGTTCACACATATCCACACCTCGGCTCCAGAGCACTTCTGTGATGCAAAATAAACAGAGCTGGAGCGGCTTCCCCCGGGCTCGGGTCCACCCTACCGAGACAAGAGACTGCCAGTGCTGCACTAGAGCAGCCCCACGAGTCGACCGCCGCGTCCAGCCGCGCAGTCCACGTTCAGCCAGCCGGGCACTCGCTCAGCCGCACCCCGAGTCCGCCCACGCAGATACCTTCACCCCGGATCTGCAAGACCCTCTCAGCGCCGCCGCTCACAGCCCGCTCCAGGGACGGCAAAGCGGGCATCGGCGCTCGGCGCTTCGTCCATTTAAGTCGGGCGGGCGCTGGCGGGGACAAGCAGCCCCCGAGGGCGCGACGCGGCCAGCAGAGACCCTCGCCCGCAGGAAACGGCGCGGCGCCGCCGGTGCAGAGCCGCTCGCCCGCGCAGAGTCCCGCTCCCTCCCCGTGCCCCTCCCCCACGAGCGCCGCAACAGTTGCCCCGGCCGCCCCCGCGCCCCCCCACCCTCCCGCGCACGTCCGCTTCCGGGCCTCGGTCTCCCGCACGCCTGCCTGCTCACCCTACCCGGCCGCGGCCACCGCTAGCGCTCCACCATGCCTGGGCCCCAGGTCGCCGCCGCCGGAAGTGCGAGACGGCTCGCCGGCACCCAACCCGCAGGCGCCGCGCGCACTCAGGCCCCGCCCCCGCGCGGTGCCCACCCCCGTCCCGCCCATCACCCTCCGCCCTCCCGCCGCTGCCTTGTTTTGATGCGCCGAGAAGGGCGGGGGCTCGCGGCCTGGGAAGGGGAGCCGCGGGCAGGCCCCGCCCCGCCTCTGTGCGTCACTTCCGGGATGCAGATGCCTGACCAATCAGAAGCGCCCCCGGGCGGGACCCGGGAAGTGTGCCGCGGAGCCCGCGTCGGCCCCGCCTCTCCCCTGCTCCGCCGGGCCCCGCCGCCTGCGCCTGGCCTAGGGCGGTTAGATCCGGACGCGAGGGGGAGCCGGGGCCGCCGGGGCGCCGCTTTCCGCACGAAGCGGGCGCGCGCGTGTGCGGGAAAGCCGCGGCCGGCGGACGGGGCGATCCTCACGCTCAGAGCGGGGTCCCGGGCGGCTCCCGAGCTACTTTAGACCTGGAAGAGGAAAGCAGAGCGAAGCGCAGACGGCCCGGCGCTGCTCGCGTCGCGCCTACCCCGGCCCTCTCTGCCCCTCTCCTCCCTTCCCAGCGCCAGAAGGGCGGGCGGGCTCCACACCGAAAACGGGACGACCTGCAAACGCGCAGTGGGAGCCGCGCAGCCCGCGCTTTCAGCTACAAAGTATTAGGTTAAAAATGCCAGGAGCCCAGTATCCCGGAGTAGGCGGGCGGGCGTGGCGGTGCACGAGGCTGAGGCAGGGCATTCGCACGCCAGCCTGGGGATTTCATGACAGCCAGGCACCGTCTCAGATTAAAACAAAACATGCCAAATACATTTTTTTAAAATGACAATAAAAGGGGCCGGGGAGATGGCTCAGTAGAATAAGTGCTTCCCTGGCAAGCACAAGGATCTGAGTTCAATCCCCGGTTCCCCCCCCCAAAAAAAAAGACAATAAAAATACTAAATATATTTAAAAATAATTTAAAAATTTAAAAACATAAATGAAAAATAATAATGGACTGGCTCTTGGTTCAATTTCCAATACCACTAGGAAGTGGCAAAAATCAAAAGAAAGGGACTGAGGAGATATCTCAGCAGTATAAGCGCCTGCCTGGCAAGCTCAAGCTCATACCAAAAAATTTAAATTTAAATTTAAAAGAAACAACAAACCCAGGGACCGGGGAGATATCTCAGTAGAATAAGCGCTTGCCTGGCAAGCTCAGGGTCCTGAGTTCAATCCCCGGTTCCACTAAAATAAAATAAAAAATAAAAAAGAACCAAAGTAAAATAAACCACTGGTAAAGGCTGGCTTCTACTCTAATACAGGATAAGGAAATAAAATCATCCCTGGTAGCGACCCATAGCCAAAAAGAACGAAGAGGTTGGGCAGGCACGATCTTACCCCCAGAGAACCCTAATCCAGAATGAAAGGAACAGAAGAACGGACGAATATATACCCAAACTGGGGAACATTCTAGAAAGGGGCGTGGCCGGAACGACCGTTAGGATTTCGCCTCTGACCGTTATTCCCCTCCCCCACCTGACCGTTATTTCCGCACTATGCAAATAGTGTTTACACTGTACCATTATAAACTCTGTATTGAGCCCTCTTTTTGGGAATTTTTGGGGGGGAGGGTTGGTTTGTTTTGTTTTGTTTTGTTGGTTTTTTGAGAAAGGGTCTTTCGAGGTAACCCAGGCTGGTCTTGAACAACTGCAGGCATCCTCTTGCCACCCCCTTCCCCTCCCAAATGCTGGGATAACAGGTCTGCCATCATGTCTGGCTTGGATCCTTTTTAAAAGACGACTTTTTAAAAAATTAATTAACTAATTAAATTAAAGACGACTTTTTGCCAGGGAGATAGCTCAGTGGCATAAGCACCTGCTTGGCAAGTGCAAGGTCCTGAGTTTGATCCCCAGCACCAACAAATAAATACTTTTTGTAATGCTGTTTTCAATACAATAACCTGAAAGATTATTTTTCTTAAAATATATTTGGT